TTGGCCACAGACTCCCGTCTCTCACCGTTCCTTGCTTCGTTTCCCAGGCGGGGCTGATAAAAACGTCATCGTTTTTGACAAGAGCTCGGAGCAGATCCTGGCGACGCTCAAGGGGCACTCCAAGAAGGTTACCAGCGTCGTCTTCCACCCGTCTCAGGTGCGTTCAGGCCCCTGTTCGTCCTCTTCCCTCGCAGCCAGGCTGCCCCAGATCGGCCTTTCTGGCCTTTTTCTGAGGCCTCCACCTCACGCAGACCGGTGAAGCGCTCTCATACAAAGAACCAAAAGTCTTTTGATACTGATTTTCCTGCCTCGTCCCTGTCTAGGATTTGGTGTTCTCAGCTTCTCCCGATGCTACTATCCGGATCTGGTCTGTGCCCAACGCCTCGTGTGTGCAGGTTGTCCGTGCCCACGAGGGCTCTGTCACGGGGCTGAGCCTCCACGCGACAGGCGACTACCTCCTCAGCTCATCCCACGACCAGGTGAGACCCGTCCCCGGGCCACAGCTACCCCCCCCCCTCTTCTGCCGCTTCTCACCCCCCTGGACCCACCACACTGTTCCTCTCTTCCAGTACTGGGCTTTCTCGGATATCCAGACAGGCCGCGTCCTCACCAAGGTGACGGATGAGAGCTCAGGCTGTGGTAAGAATATTTCCCACCCCGGAGAGGCTGTTGTGAGCCTGGAGAGAAGGGATTTTTCTGCCCCTCGTGGCTCCTGGAGCTTGGAAGAACTCTAGGGGGGGTGCCTGCTAACAAAAGTCGGGTCTCCCCAAGCCTCTGAATCTCTCCCTGCAGCTCTCACCTGTGCCCAGTTCCACCCGGACGGGCTCATTTTTGGAACAGGAACGATGGACTCGCAGATCAAGATCTGGGATCTGAAGGTGGGGCTGGCCCTGGGTGTGCAGGAATGGGGGGGACGGGGACGTGTGGTGTGTTGGGGGGCGCTCGGTTTGGTGCTGCGGACGCAGCGCGGTGTCTCTTCACCCGTTTTAACTCTGAAGTGTACTGATGACACAGAGCTGAGCTGCGGTTCCCCGCCCACAGCCTATTTCCAACTGCTTTATCCCCAGGAACGCACCAACGTGGCCAATTTCCCAGGGCACTCGGGCCCCATCACCAGCATCGCCTTCTCCGAGAACGGCTACTACCTGGCCACGGCGGCGGACGATTCCTCTGTCAAGCTCTGGGACTTGCGTAAGCTCAAGAACTTCAAGACCTTGCAGCTGGACAATAACTTTGAGGTGTGTGACCATCCTTTTCTTTCCCCCCAATGGCCTGACTGGCAGCACCCACCATCCTGGTCCTGCTTCTGGCTGCGCTCCCCTG